AGAAAAATTAGGCTACTTCTTCCTCAATACCTGAGTACTGTCATTTGTGCCTCTCAAAAAGATGGGGGGAAAAAAAAACAAAAAAAAAAAAACAAGGCTCAAAGCATTTTAAGCTGCTCAAGTGTTTACAAGGTAACTGTCCCAGAGAGTGAGAGGAGTCCCTATTCCTGAGCGCCTTGCACTGTGAAGGCTTTGCTAGCTGCCTTTGCACACATTATCCTGCCCAGTGCTCTCCATCCTCCTCAGAAATCACCTCCAGGATTACGTGAACTCTATTTCACAAAAGAGGGACCAGATTTTCTAAATATTCGCATAATTTTCCCAAGATGACACACAAGGTACTTTAGAGTGTGGACATTTAATCTCCTTGTCAATCCTCAGGAAAAAAAAAAAAAAAAAAGGTTTATCTTTGTTGTAAAGCCTTAGGAGGTCTTGGTAAGTACAAGGTAACATTAATTATCCTAAGTGTTCTTATCCATTTGCCCCCACACTGTCTCCAGTCCAGCAAGATCTGGAATTAAATCCTGATCCCAGGTCCCAGATCCAATGTCCGGCTTCCGGTATGAAGGCTGCATGATCTACCTCTCAAACCGTTTCTTCCAGGCTGGTGCCAGAGCACTGGCAATGGGCATGGTTCTCTAAGTGAAAGGATTGTTTTCTCCACGTTGATCTAATTTGCAGAGCTGGATTTCTGATCAACTCACTCTGAGTTCTGGGAGATTGCCTAGTCATTCTAAGATTACAGTGTGGATACTATAAATCCCTGCCCATAACCTAGTACCTGAGACAGTACAAGCTGCCTCTTTCAGGGAGTAGATTATCCCCCTGGGGGCCAGCCAAGCTCCTCAGTCTGCATTCCTCTAGCCTTAATTCACTGCTTATCTTTGCACCTCCAGTGTTTCTAAAAATCTGAGGTTACAAACAAGGTCCCCAGACTCTACACAGGGAAGTGCAAATGAGTGAGATGGTCAGTCTGAGGTGAACGAGGGCAGAATTACTGGGTCTATGGTTCTAGAGGGGAACGCTGCTCATGTATAAACATTTGAGAATGTGGGCCCACTGTTATCAATTTTATGAATTTTTAAAGAGAAGATAAAAATACCAATTTTTACGTAAAATTAGTAACTAATCCAGTGATATTTTCTTTTTCTGTTATGTGAACACACAAATCTGTACACTGTTCATAGTCCTTCAGTTTATAGTTTCTGGTTCAGATAATTGCTTAGTCCTGGCTTACAAAATATTATTCTCACAGACTGAAAAAACATTACATTAGGTGAGTCAGCAACATAAATTGATGCTTGATAATTATGGAAAATTCTGATAACCACATCAATGCATTACCCAAGTAGTCTACTCTAACTAATCTCAAGGGACAGTTCTCTGCAAGTCTCTCATGTTTCTACATATCTTATGAGTGGAGACACTGACAGCCTTTGTTTCAAACCATCTGTTCAGAAATGTTTTATATAACAAACTAGAGGCCTGGTGTACAGATTCATGTATCATGGAGTCCCTCCACCTGGCCTGCAGGGATAGGGCCGAAAATGGCTCTCCAATATTCCCTGAAGAGTCCTGAATTACAAAAGGGCACAGGCCAGGGCAAAGGACCCCACCAGTACATGATTGGAGCCAGGGAGGGTCCACAGGAGGTCTCCAGGGCATGTCTCATCCATCTCACCCACTCCTAATTGGCCAGAGCCCAGCAGCAAGCTAACCTACTGGTTGAAGCTTCTGCCCCTTCATGGCCAGTGTGTGTCATAGCGCCTGGTCTAATGGTTGGACACTTAGCAAAATAGACATATATATATATATATATATATATATATATATATATATATATATATATATAGAGAGAGAGAGAGAGAGAGAGAGAGAGAGAGAGAGAGAGAGAGAGAGAGAGATAGCCTTGTAAGAGAGATATGGAGTCTCTCTCTCTAGAGCAATGCTAACTTCCCATTATAAAAATTTGTTTCCCAAACTCAGAGTCCTCTCATATACTGCAACCTACTGCTCCATTTGTGTCCATCAATGAGATTTGTGCCTCAGGGATATAGTGAAAATGCTAATAATCTGATAATTGTTACTGTTCTGTTTACTAAGTCCCTGGTCTCTGATTCAGTAATGTCATGTTTTCTGCCAGCATCTATAAAACATGGCATACTAGCAAGTTAGGATGCAAATAGGGTAAAATCTCGTTCTTCATAGTTCTTAAAAATTGATATTAGCTTTTCTTTCATTCTGAACTCTGGCTATAGCAGCTACTCTAAAATTAAAAGCCTACTGTTTTCTTATATATTGTTTACCACATTTCCCTGAATCAATATATATCTATCTTGCTTTTGAAAGTACAGCATTGGTTTATGCTCCATCAAAACAATCATGAACACCCATTTCAAACACCCAAATCTCTCCCTATCTCATTCTTTCTAGCTATTTTGGCCTCCATCTTCAGCTTCAGAGAATAGTTTGATGCTTAGCAATCCAGCAAAACAACTAAGCAAAGAGACTGTCAAGCTATACTGCCTTGGTTTGAAACTATTGCTACCTACTGGCCGTGTTCTCTTAGACAAGTTATTTAATTGATTCACGCTGCAGTTTTCTTCTCTCTACAAATGAAAATAATAATAGTAACTAACTCTAAACATTACCTGAGAATTAAATAAGTTTTTATATTTAACATGCTTAGAATAGTATCGGGTACATAGCGAGAAGGCAATAAATATAACCAGTTACTCAACTGAATATTTTTCCAATAAATGCAGTCAAGGACCACCTTAAAAGCAGATTGTAATTTACAGTATAACCATATCACATGGAAGATGAATGGAAAATAATTTAGGGCTGAGTATGTATCTGGTCCTTTCTAAATTCAATAGTTTAAAGACATATTATTTCCATAGGTTTTCCCATTTGAAAAACCAACATCTCATATCCCAACCTTCTCCAAAGGACATGAAAGACCTTGCAGCAACCCCTCTCAAGTCAAGTTGTAAATATATAAATGGGTACAAAATGTACAAATAAAGGTTTTATTTAAAATGCCAAACTACTCTTCCATAGATGGCCTTGTAAACCCAGGATGCCTAACTGCTGTTGGTGGGGTACCCCCTTTTTCCCCACCAGTTGCCAGTGGAAGTGGACTTACTGGGGTGTTGCTGGAATCAGAGTTTCCAGAGGCCCCCACAGGAGGATGAGGTATCCTGGAAAGTGTTATTTTTGTGGAATTAAATCCCAGAGTTTCCAAGGTCCCCTCTCCCTCCATCCTGCCAAGGAAAAAGTCCCATTTCATCTTCAGCAGAGCTAGAATGAAAACCAGAGCTCAGAGGTTCTGCTACATATTTGCACAGTCCAGTCCAGCATCTGGCTAGGTTAGCTTACGTTCCCAGCTGCAGTTCATTGTGTGTAGGATCCACATGGCCACGGGCCATGCAGTTTCTAGGGCCACATGGCTAGGGAGGGAACACCAAAGTGCAAGGAAGCAGAACAAAAGAGAGAAATTCTTTGTCTGGGGATTATGTATTCCCAAATTTTTGTGGGCCTGCATTGGGATCCACCCCTCTAGACAATGATCTTTGTCCCCCAATTAGACTGATAGGCAAATACCTTCCTATGTCACCCCAAGTCACTGTGCCTGTGCCCATCTTCCCTTTTGTCTAGTCCCTTCCCCAGGGATCTGCAGGGAATGGACCATTAGTTTCCTGGGGAGTGTGCAATGGCAGCTTCCTGGTGAAGCTGCCCTGATGGTCGTGTTTGTAATGTCTGGCCTTCCCTTTGCTCCTTTTCTGTTATTAATAATTAGCTGATTGCAATGGTAACACAACTATCATCACACAAATATTACCAGTTTTCTTCATAGCCTTAACCAAAAACTCAATTCACCAAATATCCCTTGTCTGAAGCATTGTTTCCATTGTTGTATTTACTGTGCAACAATTAAAAACAAAAATCCCAAAGGAGTAAAAGAGGAAAAGCCACAAAAATCTGATTGGATTTTCCTACACTTTCCCCTCCTTATTTTTCAAGCAGCTAATCCCCTCTCAAACTGTACAATAGAATAGCTAGACATAAAGAAAAGGGAGATAAAAGTGGCCAGCCAGTGCATTGTTCCTGCTAATCTGCGCCATTTACATAAGGGTTAGAAGGCTTGTTTTATCATTTAAAAAGGCTTAAAAGCCTCTTTGCAAATGAGATTTAGTGCCTACAGAAGAATGAATCCTAGCTATTTGGTGAGTTTCTGCTGGACCAGCATTGGGAGCTGACTTGGCAGTAACTTAAGCTACTTCTTTGGCCTCATACAGTATATGCAAAGATTGCTTCCAGCTGCCAAAACTGAAAAGCCTCAAGCTGATTAAATTCTTTCCAGGAGGTGAAAAGGATAAGGAGGAGGTTAAGAGGCCAATAATATTAGATGTTAGACTGTACCTGGGCATACTTGTGCATAATGCAGGTGCTTTAGAAGTAGCTTTGAACTTTTCCCCTTGAGTCTTCCTTTGAAAGGGAACAGAAGGGCAGACAGCAAATGAGATTCAGAGACAGAGACTTAAAATAGTCCCAGACTGTGAAGTGAGGACAATCTAAACTCTTTGATTCATTGTTGGTGTGAGTGGCACTGGACACAAGGATCAACGGCACAGCAAACTCCCTTGCTAATGTTAGCATGGAAGATAACTAGGAGGAAAAAATTACCTTTGCACAAAATACATGCTTTTCATAAAAACCTTAGATTTTTTAAATATATTTTTTGATATTTTAGAAAGGGAGAGGGATAGAGAGTTAGAAACATCTATGAGAGAATCATCAATCAGCTGCCTCTTGCACACACCCTACTGGGGATGTGCCTGCAACCAAGGTATATGCCCTTGACCGGAATCGAACCCGGGACCTTTCAGTCCGCAGGCCGACGCTCTATCCACTGAGCCAAACCAGTTTCAGCAAAGCCTTAGATTTTTTAAAATCAAAACCACATTAATATATACAACGCTTATAATTTGTTTTACCTTGCACACCTTGAACAGATGTTCAGTGTGACCTTGGCCTGAAGTTCAGCAGGGTGAGTAGCACGACCTTGATTAAATTTGCTCCCAGAAGGTGCTAGAGTAGTTACTCCCTCCATTCTTAAGTCATCAAGATCCTCTGGAACAACACAAACAATTTCAGAGAGAAAAATTAAATGTTAATAGTATTGAGGAGAGAAGTCCATGTTTTCAGGTGTCTGCAAGTAGTTTAGAAGTTAAAACATTACATCTCCACATTGCAAAAACCTTACCTCATGCATCAATTATCTTTTAATCATTTCTAGATGTTGCTAGAGACAAATTATATGAGAAGATTTACAGTAAGCCAAACCACAACCTCTGCAGCAATTGGACCAAAATGGTCAGGACTAGGTCAATGGCTACCAGCTTCCCTTCTTTTTGTCTTTACTTACAACTCAGAACAAACCAGAAAATGACAAGTATGTTCCAAATGATTACAAAAGGTTCTTTGCTTCTAATTAGTCTGCCTTCTCCTTCCTCATCCAACAATCGCCAGCCAGAACATATCTGAAACTTTCTCTTTTTCCATTCTAAACCTTTCCTTCTTGTCTTCACCTGGGGAGGAGAATACTGTTCTCTGAAGTCCATTTCTATTTTTCCCAAATTCCCAATCAAGATTTAAAAGGTCTAAGTTTCCCTTGTAATTTGGTCCTGATACAATAGTACATGATATCCTGCTTTATTCAGAAAAAAAGAATCTTATAAAAGGTGTTCCATTTACTTGCTCTCAGACTTAGCAAAAAAGGGTACATAAAGTTTCAAAGGATAAATTATAATTTTGCCAAACATAATCTATTACTGAGTTTATAACCTGTGTAAGGAAGGCAGTCACTCTCTTTTGACAAGGCTGCAGAAAACCCAAACATTGCAGAGCTCTTACAAAACAACTCGCAGGAGTTCTAGGCTTAACTAGATAATGCGAACAAATTTTCCTGAGGTTGTAAGGACTCAGTCCAAGTCATGAACTGGCCTTCTGTAATCGGAAGGCGGCTTGTCAATAGATCCTTTCATAGGCATCTCCAACTGAAAATCCTTTCATTTACATAAGGAATCTGGACAAATACTTAGGGTTTTAACTCAACTTCATGATAGTCATCAAAAATGCGTCTCCTTGACCTGGTTGCAAAGGCTTATTTCCCTGTTTCAGGGAAATAGCTGCCACTTCAAAATTCTGCTTAACCATTTATGAGCTCCTCTCTTGATCTCATGGTTACTCATGCAGTGCAGACATTATGTTGCCTGAGAACATAGAGCACTTCTCAGCTAGTTAATTAATCTCTCATGAGAATGTGCTGAACATTCCCTCACATCACTCTTCACCACTGCAATACCCTGATCCTACAGAATAGGAACCTTACAATTTTCTTACTTCAGTCAGGAAATCTGCCTGCCTCACTTACGTTTTTTTAATAACTGAAAACTTGACCTAATATTATTCGTTGATAGATCATACATCAAAATTTGACCTAATATTATTCGTTGATATATCAAAACTTGAAACTGGAATGGAATATGCTACCACCAACTTAAGCTTGCCTTTAGAATACAATCCTTCGTGTTATTGCACTTACTTAAGCTCGTCAACTATCTAAAGACCACAGAATATAGACACACACACACACACACACACACACACACACACACTTTTTTTTTTTTTTAATATGACTTAGGATGCTTTGGAAACAAATGTGTTCTCAACTCTGCTGAAAACCCTATTAAGCCCTAATCGGTTTGGTTCAGTGAATAGTGTGTCAGCCTGCAGTCTGAAGGGTCCCAGGTTCTATTCCAGTCAAGGGCATGTACCTTGGTTGTGCGCACATCCCCAGTGGTGTGTGTGCAAGAAGCAGCTGATCCATGTTTCTCTCTCATCAATGTTTCTAACTCTCTATCTCTCTCCCTTTCCTCTTTATAAAAAAAAAATAAATAAATAAAATGTAAAAAAAATTAAATTAAAAAAATACACACACACACACACACACACACACACACACACACAACCCTATCAAAAGTGAACAAGAACTTAGCTAGTTTGGCTCAGTGGATATAGCATCAGCTTATGAGCTGAAGGGCCCTGAGTTTGATTCTGGTCAAGGACACGTACCTCGGTTGCAGGCTCGATCCCTGGTCCTGGTCAGGGTACGTGCAGGAGGTAATCAACCAATGTCTCTCTCTCATGTCGATGTTTCTCTCTGTCTCTCCCTTTCCCTTCCACTCTCTTAAAAAACAATGGAAAAATATACTGGGGTGAGGACTAACAAAAAAAGTGTACAAGCTATTTAAGACATGTTTAGATATATTCTTATTTCATAAAGATGTAGCTATTATAAAAGTTGGGGCTCATGAAAAAATAAATAATAATGAAGCTCAAGAAAATACTCTAGCAGATCGTTTTGCCAAATAAGCAACCTAAACCATAGATATCATGCTATCTAAACTCATCAAGGATAAATACTTAAAGGAATTCAAAGAAACTATTATGAATATCAACATTCAGACCATAATAGTAGAAAAAAGGAAGAAAAAATATATGGTTCTAGTTTCACTCAGATAACCTTTGGTGCTCTCAAGATAGCTGTTGGGTGATATTATTTATTTTCAAATGGATAGTAGCTAAATTTCTCCATGAAACTACTCATCATGATACAGATAAATTGCTTACTGTGTGAAATTAGCATGACTGGATAAACAATTTTTACTCTTGTTTTTTTTGTTTTGTTTGATTTTTGTTTGTTTTTTGTTTGTTTGTTTGTTTGTTTGTTTCAACATCACAATCTAGAAAAACTGTAAGATTGGATATGGCCAGGAACAAAATCTTCAAGGGCTCTTTGAATATGGCATGAATTTTAAGTAGCTTTCACACTCCACAAGATTTTAATGTTTTAGTTATATGTTTATTTTCAGGAAGGGTTGAAACATCTCTTTGGCAAAAAGCTACAATCTTTATAGTTGATAAAAAGCTGCCTGACTTTTTGTTTTCAATCTTTGGAATACAAACTTTTGTAAGTACCCAAGGTACACATTTCCCAAGAAACATTAAGGAACTCCTTACTCAGAAACCATGGAGAGGTGGAATCAGTAACATTATTAAATGAACTTAACAGAGCTTTCAGAAATCCTTGATCTCCCATGTGCAAAAGTAGTCCCACTCACCTTAATCAGTATGGTCCACTTCCTGGGAACACACTGTTTACTTCCCTATGAACTGGTAACTGTAGGGCCAATGTGCTTCAGGATTTTACCTGATGCTGAGCTCTACTCTCTGTATCACACCTTGTAAAATATTGCATGGGACCCATGTACAATACTCAGTCCTATCACCAAGAGGTTAGAATCACATTCAAAATATCTTCTTACAGCCTCTTTGTAATATTCAACTATGATATTTTGTCCATTGGAAGATACATCTGAAAAAAATTGCTCTTGAACTTCATGGAAGGGATTTTATCAAATACTTTAAACTACTAATACAGAAGTAAAACTCTCTGGAGCAAACCCCTAGATTCACATTTCCCAACTAAAGAAGCAACCCAGAATCAACAAAACAAGAACTGTGTTATAATAGGGGACCTCAAATAGGATTCTTTAGAACAGTCCAATGACCCTCAGATAGTGGACAGTTTCTGCCCAAGATGGTGTATCAAAACCATACTAATTCCTATTTTGTTTTCCATCTACTTACTTACAATCATTATTCTCATTTTCTGTAGACTCTTGGTTGCTGCCCAACCATGATGGCCCCTTTTCCTCTTCTGTTCTCTTCTAGATTGGAGCATAATCAGTCTACCACCAATCTCAGATTACTCAGCTAATGTAAGGCCATGTCATAAATAATTCCTTTTTCCATGGGTAACTGTGTGTTCCTACCAGATACTACTGGACTTCCTTTGCAGCCAGGATGGATAGGATCACTTTCCTCATACTAATAACTCATGCACTTTAGAAATAGTATTATAAAAATTATCTGTATATAGGCACCCTAATTCTATAAATCATCAAACTGGAAATTATAATTCAGACATGAGTGCTAAATGAGGCTACCCTTGATTATTCAGGAACTTTACCTAGGAGAGTTATTATTTCATTGTTTATACAAATAAAGCAGTATCTATATATATATAAAACACTGATATGCAAATAGACTGAATGGCGGAACACAACAACTAGTGGCTATGACGTGCGCTAACCACCAGGGGGCAAGCACGGACCATAGTGGGCATCTGCCGCGATGTGTGATGTGATGGTGGAGCAGGTGAGTGGGGGTGCAAATCCAAGTCAGGGTGCCAGTTGCTGTCATCAGGGCAAGCCTCTCTTGGTTATTGAAAATTCTTTGCTCCTGTGTCCTGAGGTCTCACCCGGTGCTTGGACCTGCTGCTGGAGCAGGCCCCATTCACACCCACTGCCAGCGCCAGAGCCACCGCTCACACCCGCACCAGCCCCGATTGCTTGGCACCGTCAGTGGGTGCAAGCAGCAACTGCCGGCCCCGATCACCCTTCAGGGCTTCTCCACCTCTCCCTGCTTCTGAGGGATGATTGGGGCTGGCAGCCATCTCTTGCACCCGTTGCCAGCAACAAAGTCACAGCTCACACCCACTGCTAGCACCATCCTTGCTCACAGCCGCAGCTGGTACTGCACCACTGCTCATACCCACTGCTGGTGCCCAGTGCCAGTCCCAATCGCTTGGCGCCATTAGCACAGAGCCAGACTGCCAACATACAGGGGACTAGGGCCATGGTGCAGAGGATGGGCCGAGAACCACCCCTGTGCCCACCACAGCTTCATGGCCCACAGTTCCTTTCAAGGTGCACGAATTCATGCACTGGGCCCTAGTTTCCGATAATAGGCTTCATTCAAACATGATATGTAAGACATGTATTATTTTAACTCTGACAGACTTATATAAATAATACCACCTCTACCCTAGATGAAATATGATCAGTCTCAAAGCCTTGACAGAAATAGTGATGAACAATCTAGATTTCATGTTCACTAGTCATGGTACTATCTGTGCCATTGATAATACTACTTGCTGTATTTGGCTCAATTAAACAGCTAAGGTAGAAAAAGAGTATATTACCTTAAGGAAAAAGGTACCCAAC